TAACTAAATCTATTAAGTCTGTTATGACTAAGAACTGCAGCTAGGCCGATGCAACGTAAAATGCTTATGTGCCTTTATGAGTACAACATGTTGCACAACAGTTTTGTAAACTTGACTTTTGACCTTGGCCTCGTAAGGTTAAGGTTTTTCATTTTGAGTCAGACTTAGTACTGCAGCTGGGGTCACACAACTTAACAAACTTATGCATTTCATAGAGTACAGCATGTTGCATGCCTTTTGTAACCTTTAATTCATTCACCCCTAAAATTTCATAATGAATGATTCCAACCTTTGAGTTGGAAGAGTTCAAATTTGTCTTCAGGGGTGAATAAGTTAATTGAGCTTTGATAAAAATTTACATTTATGTAAATGTAAGGTCAAGTATAAACTGCAGCTTGGGACACACAACTTCACATGCTTATACACCTATAAGAATACAGATGTCCAATGCCATATTTGTGATTTTGAGCTTAATATGACCTCATTTAAGATCTTGCATTTGGGTAATTTATTGATGAAATACTGCAGCTAGGATCAAACATGTGCCTTGATAAGTACAGCATGTTGCACGCATTCTTGTACCCTTGACCTCTGTCGTGTCAGATGATTATGATGTTTAGGTCAGTTATTGACTCGATACTGCAACTAGGGTCCTGCAACTTCACATGCTTTTGAACCTTCATGAGTACAGCATGTTTACCGACAGTTTTGTAACCTTGACCTTGACCTCTGTGACGTAGATTAAGTTATTACATCATGCAACTTTGCATGCTAATGTGCCTCTATGAGTACAACATGTTGCCTGACATCTTTGTGACTATAACCTTGACCTATGACTGTATGTATATCTTTGCATTAAGGTCACTTATGGGCTAAGTACTAAAAGTTTGGAGATGTAACTTCACACGCTTGTTACATTATAGTTGTGTAACGTTAACTTTGACCTCTGCGACCTGACCTTAGTTCATAAGTGTGGAAGTGGGGCATCCTTGTCTTACAGACACAATACTAGCTTTATTTATGAAATGTTATTAAAAGTTACTAATAGGCAAATATTAATGATGTATCTAACAGGGTCAAGGTCAAATAACTGATATTGTAGAGCAAAAGTGTTTGAGGCGATAATATTTGATAGAGAAGCCATAAAGTGATAAGCATTATATATCACAGCATTAACAGGACATATTTACTTGGTAAATGTTTTGTAGGAGTAAACAGTTTATATTGTTGTACCAGGATATATATAGATTGAAGATCCTTTAAAACACTATAGATATTTACTGTATAGATATGTAAGTATCCAGTTTGTATACCATTTACACTGCAAACATACTAGTAGTGCTGGTTATGAGTTTAGTAGATAGAACATATACTGTACAAGTTATTTTGAACCAGATATCTTTCGTGAAGGGACCAACATTTATTTGTAGAGAATTTCACTTAAATCGTTGGAGACTATATGTACATTTAAAAAAACAAAAGTCACAATTTGAATAAAAACAACCTTATAGATGCAGTTGTAAAGCCTCGGTAAAAATAAATTGCGTAAATTGTACATTAGATATAACGATATGCAAGTTATGAATTTACAAAATTGTACACAAATACAATGAATATCAATTTCATGTTCTATTGCTTTGAAAAAAATAGCATTACATACAAATGTAGCTAGGTAAAAGTGATAAATTTACTCGTAATAAATGAATTGTTGCGATATTTGTGAACTGACCACTGGTTCTTTACAGTCCATTGATTAAAGCATATCATTTGTATAATTGACTTTGTTGTATGGCGTTAATCCCTGGTTTCTATTTTCGTTTTGAAACTCATGTTTCTATTTTGTTTTGAGGCCTTTGTTTTAATTTTTGTTTCCCCCTGTTATTGTTGCTGTTGTCAATTTCGTGTTCAGTCATGTGTATATTGTATTGTTATCTAGTTTAGTCAACCGTGTCAATATTGTCAACCAGACCATGCATTAATTTACACATAATTCACCAAAAAACTATTTTTTAAACGTCTTTTCATCAAGCTGAGTGGAAAACATTGAAAGCTTTAGACGCATTTGATTATTGATGTACATGTAATTACATTTCATATTTGTATTTCTTCTATTTTGATTTAAATATTGCCGACTTTTTTTTTGAGAGACCTTTTGAATTTAATTTTGAGTTCGATCTGGTTAAAAAAACATATATATGTAATAAAACACAAACAAAAAATATTTTACTTTGCTTGATGAATTGACAAAATTATGCATTTATATTAATTTTGTATTTTAAATACTCCTTTGCACAACCATATCGTATATTTATATATATATCAGTAGATTTTGATACTACACACAATATACCTTACCTCATTCTTATATAAAAAGTGTTACCAAATCATGCATATTTGTTATTATGATTAATTATTAATCTTTGATGCTCCTCGAGGCCTTGTCTGACCTGTTTCTGAGAACGAAAGACAGAGCCAGAGCGAGAGATAGAGACAGAGAGAGAGACGGAAAGACATAGTGAGTGTTCCAAAAGTCTGTTTTTGCCATAAAACTTTTGTTGTTAAACTTGCATCAAATTTGAAATGATAACTCATAGTTTAATATTATTTTAATCACTCATAATAACCTTCATTTCTTCAAGTTTTTTCAAAAACTATAAAAATAAAATATACAATTTAGAAAAACAAAAAGTTTGCCATTAACTGTAAAACTTGTTTTGAAGTTTTAAAATTTCTTTGGTTATTTTATTTTTTGATATCTCGCATTCAATTTCTTCTGGAGTAAACAAAAAATAATCAAAAACAAAACTATGATCAAGGTAGAATATTGTTTATTATATACTCGTCTAATAACCAAGATACCTGTATTTACAAATCTATATACCGAAAGAGGTAAATGACTTCACTATCTGTGTTGTAATTTAAGTTTAATTTGATATACATTGGGTAATATGAAATGAAAAACTTTTGTTTTAATTTGTTGAAGTGAAATGATAAGTAATAATTGACTATGGATTTGATCATTTTGGTTATACCTATGTGCACCACACTTTGAGATGGGTGGTCATGTGATGAAGTCATGTGACATTCACCAGGTCTTCCAGAAAAAGAATTTTCCTTGCATCAAGAAAATGTGCGAGTCATTTATAAGATTATACACGTAATGACACTAATAAACGTGATTAAATATTTATACTGGAAGTCTGACTCTTCGTTATTTTTTTACAGCACATGGAAAAAATATTATATATACGTGTACAATATGTATTTGTAACGGGGGTGGGGGGGGAAACCAACAGCTTTTGACTGAAGGTGCTCTAGAATTTTTTTTAGTTAAAATCCCTCCATTACTTTAGAAGGAGAAGATTTTTTGAAGATTTACCTCTTTTTCCCCTGTCCGGCCCTGCACCTCTGCCCCCAGGGGCCGTACCTTCTGTTATACAAAATTGAGAACCTGTTGGCCAAGAATGCTTCAGACCAGATTTGGTCAAAATCCACTGAGCTGTTAAGGAGAAGTAGCATTTTAAAGGATATATTTGAGGGACGACAGATGCTGCGCCACAGCATAAGCTCACTTGGCCCTTCAGGCCGGTCACACAGTATGGTCAATTATTAGGATGCCTCTGCCTTAACCTATTACATTGCTATTTATGACACAAATGTAGCCTTATTCAGAAGTTCATGAAGAGCTCCTAGATTTTGCCTTTAATGTTTGGATTATAAACATCATAACAATGTGTCCATAATACTGCCCTATCACACATTAAGGGTATATGCCTGTCAATTTTTCGCCCTTCACAAGTACAATGTAATTACTATGTCAAATATGTTGTAGACTTATTTTTACTGCCACGATCAATTCACCCTCATTCAGGAGGGGAAAAAACGTGAAATCGGCAAAAATTATCAAGTACACAGTAGTATCCCTATCCCACCGCAGGCAAAACACGGGAATTTTAATGGTATTCATGTAAATCTCCAACATGTCTTTCATTTTTAGCTCACCTTTTGGCCATGTAAGCTTATGCCGTACTGCGGTGTCCGTCGTCCGTCAACTTTTTCTTTTGAACAACTTCTTCTGAAGAACTGTAGGAACTAAGGTCATGATATTTGGCCAGTAGGTACCTGGGATGGATCGAGTGTTATAAAGTTTCCTCATTAAAATGACCTTGACCTACTTTCAAGGTCACAGCGGTCAAATATGTTAAAAATTTCAAACAACAATATCCTAAGAACCATTTGAACTATAAGTCATGATACTTGGGTATGTTATGAAGACCAGCAGTGTGAATAGTTTTTTCAATTACAGTTATAAGGTCAAAGGTCAACTTTAAATGCTAGTCGGGGGTCAAATGTCAACTTTGGTTAAAAGCTTTAACAATCTTCTTCTCAAGTTCCATAATGTCCAGGGTCATATTTGGCCAGTAGGTACCTGGGATGAAGTGCTATTAAGTTTCTTTATAAAAATGACCTTGACCTACTTTCAAGGTCGCAGGGGTCAAATATGTTAAAAACTTCAAACAACAATATCCTAAGAACCATTTGGACTAGAGTCATGATACTTTGGTATGTTATGTAGACCAGCTGTGTGAATTGTTTTCTTTATTACAGTAATGAGGTCAAAGGTCAACTTTAAGTGCAAGTTGGGAGTCAAAGGTCATTATGCATTAAAAGCTTTAAAATTTCAAGTTTTAAACAACAATATCTTCAGAACCGTTGAAGGGATGTTAAAATTTCTTGTGTTCTAGTTACCAAATTTGGTCTTCAGTTACCTATATGTCAGTTTCATGTAACAAAAGAAACAGGTGAGTGATACAGGCCCTTTAAGCCTCTTATTATTTTTTTAAGATCAGGCCATTTCTACTGTACACTGTAACCAAAAATATATTAGACTGACTTTAAAAATCATGCCCCATCTGAAAGATTCATATTACAGTCCAACACAGCTGGGCTTTCAAAACAAAATAAAAAATTGATAAAAATAATTCAACAAACTGTTTCTGATAATTTTCTGCTTTTTATTTGACTAAATTGAAAACAAAATTCACTTTACATACATTGGTACTGTAAACATGGAAATTTGTGAGAGAAAAAGGAGCAAATCCTAGTGACAACCAGTACATGGTAAATCAAGCCTCAGTGATTCAGGGACCACCAAGCCAAGTGTCTAACTGTATTTTAGGAGATGGATTGGTTTATATTCTAAACAAAATTGTCTCAGTTTTCTGCCAGTCTATAAACCCAGACACTTTTGCTAGGAATGAAGTTGCCGGGTTAGCAGACTTGATTACAAAAACCAAATTTCCTTGCAATGTGAAGCACTTTATATATAGTAAGAGTAAGATTATATAATAAACGTAAATTTCTGCCACAGAATTTCCATGTTCACAAGGGTTATCACAATACAAATACAAAACATTCTCATCTTTCTAGCTTGTCTCCGCATGCTAGTCAGACTAAAGTTTATAAGAAAGCACCTAGGTTTATAATACTCTCCTAACATTTTATAATAACTAGATATATACATCTATAAACGCAGTGGACATGTACTTCATACAAACTTGTTATTCTTGGGCAGCTCTGATGAGTCATCATATTATGTGTATCACATGATGTGATTATTATCTGTCACCAAATTTTGAGCACTGTATAACACAAAACTTTAACTTGTAATTCTGTGGTAGTTATGATGAGTCATCATGTGATGTGTATCACATGATGTGATGATTACCTGTCATCACATTCTGACCACTGCATAACACAAAACTTTCTCTTTAGTATGTACTTTTAGAGTGGCATTGGAATCAGAAATAGATGTACAGAATATATATGGGAGATTTAACCGACTCCAGTACCAATCTAACTTACCAACATATACTGTGAAAGCTTACAATACAGTAAAACCTCCATATAATGCCCCTTGTTTCATCTGCCACCTCGCTTACCACCTATGTAATTCAGTCTATTTGTTTTCCTAAAATCACTGAACCCCCTTTATAATGCCAAATTTTCTCTGGACAAATGGTGACAGTATAAGGAGGTTTTACTGTATATATGCTAATTTGTAAATCTTCTATTCTGAAAACAGCACAAGACAAAATAAAATATCTCAAATATCACATTTTCAGCACTGATGCTATAGAATTTTGAACATGAACATTTTTCATATAGGATTAATTTAGATTATCACTATAATTTTCATAAATATCACAATTACACACAAACACACACACACATATATATTTATATACCATTTAGCTGAGGATAACGATCAATGAACAAGTTTTATATTATTTTTAAGTGGTATGACTAGTTGCCGCCATTATTAAATTTTTGCCTTCCCTACCAGCCATAGTTGGAATTTCATATACTCCAGACCTTGAGGACCCCTGTGAAAAGTAGGTCAAGGTCTTTATATTTATATCTTTTTGCAAATTAACCCGACTTCCATGTTAGAAAATTGCAATCCAAGGCTTAAGTGCTGGGTTTCACAAATATATTTTGTCTTGGAAAATTTCTTTCATAATATCATCAAAATGTCTTGAAAGATAAATCTTGAGTAAATATATTCCTATCTAAACATATTGAGATTCTTTTCAGTGTTTTTTGTCCTAAATAATGATATATCGGTAGTCACTTGTATGTTGTAGACTGCCGATCATATGTTAAATAATATCCTGATATGGAAAATATTTGTGACACGTTTTACGGTAATGATACATAAAATGAATTATAAATAAGTTAAACAAGTTCAGTGATACTTCACAGGGGCGTAGCTGAAGTTATTTTGTAGACAAACTTTCAGGCGAGGGACTGCAGTCTGCCTAGGTATCCAGTGCGCCAAGGGCAGAGCCATGGTAGGGAGCTCAAGGGGAAAATCCCCCCAACCAAAAGAAAATGATTATGAGGATTTTAAATATGAATAGGCATCATAATGACGTAGATGATAACTTCAACATCAATCGAGAACTAGTACTGTCAGCACTCTGTAATCGAGAAGTAAAAAGGTATTTTTTTAATTCTCGTTTACAGAAAGTGTCAACGGGTCCCAATTACCGATTTGACGTAGGCTTTCTAAAAAGAAACTGGACAGTTTCGGAATGATGGTCCAGGATATAAGAATCTGAAATTATGTATGAGATTAATTTGCAGACATAGGATTCAGAGAAAAACAAATTGTATTATTAAGAGATTCATGTGTAGGTAAATGTCTACACTACCTACTGGCAGCTACGCCACTGTTACATATACTGATATACATCATACAAACGTTGGGAAATTACTCCACCTGCATAACTGACATTAAAATCTCCCTGTGCCCTTGAATTGATAACATATTTTACCTTTGACCATAGGCAACCATAAATGTGCTTTAGTGTATCGAATTCCATCTTTAAGGGTTCCTGTCTCACTGCACTGTAATTCGCCCGGCCTAATTTTTACACCCAGAATACGATTGTTGATGATAAAAGTCCTTCAAAGTATGTTTTTTTCTTCAGAAATAATCTATCAAAGCTATCGTCATGCCGGAAAAACAGGTTCCAATACTTTGTACACGTTTTTGGCAGTGGTACGTACAGGAATCCTTAATAATATGCCAAATATGGCATCTGTTCTGACAGACATTCACTTTTCAATCGACAAATTATTTTATATATTTTATATAAATCACAGACCTTGGAATCCATTGGCAGTTCAATTAAAACCGACAATGTTTATCAATTAAGTCCTTAGATTCAGGTACACATCCCACACAACATATACACCAGTCGCATACACACACTCAGTCGGCACACATTTGCGTGACTGCTATTCCACCCACCATGACTTTCAGCCACATGTTAACTGGCTCTATTCAAGGTTTCACTGACCACATGATGTTGTATTAGGTATCACCAAGCATAACATAGATATCTTCTGGAAAATCAAATCTAAACAGTGAATCATCACATGACACATTCTGTTTAGTGTGAACACAAAATTGTTTTTATGGTATTGGTCAGAGATATCGATGATGACAAACATCTATTCAACGAGAGATGAACACTACAGCGTAAGTAACCTCCTGTAAGGAAGATTCTCGTACTCTAGTCTGTGTTCTGAATTCACATAATAGTCACAATCTCGCATCATTTCAGAGTTGTCTGCGATCTCCTTCATGAATATAATCCAACTTTGCTGTCATATATTTGTCTCTTCAGGTAAATTTCTTTAAGAATCCTCAGAATTATGACACACTTATAGTAGACAATGTTGATCCTTCCTCCACAGGGTCCCCTATCTGTTATACCACAGATGTGTCGTCACCACTGTCTGGTCTGAAAAAAATGAAAAACAAAAATATTACATATTTCGAATCATGATGGAGTCTTGTTCCATATTACAATACTTATTACATAGCGTAATTTGCACAAAGTTTACTATAGTCTTGATCGGACATTAAAAGCTGTTACAAACATAACATTACATGATAAAGTCTCAGTTATAATACAAAACTACTGTATACCAGTACATTTTCGCTGCAGTGTAATTTCCCCTCTTTCACCCTCTGTAACGAGGGCAACATTTATCCTTACAGTGAATATAAGTTACAACATTATGTTTTTAAATAGTAATAAAACTGTGAAGGGCAAAATTAAAACTTGCTGAATATGGATTTTACTGGCAAAGGGCAAAAGTTTGACTGGGGGAAACTGCCCGATAAAAAGTATAGCAGGCTGTAGATGTTTTCTGCTTTCCTGGGAAACTAGAAATTACACAAAATCATTAGAAACAGCAAGGTTCATTTCCAAACCATTTGTACAAAACGGTGGGTGGCAATTTTTCAGAGGCCCATGTGTTGAGTTGTTGTTTTTGTTTGTTTTTCTGTTTAAGGTTTTATATTTTCAGAAATGTTTCCAGTAATAGACACAGGATACAACAACTTGGTTCCAGTAATAGACACAGGATACAATAACTTGGTTCCAGTAATAGACACAGGATACAATAACTTGGTTCCAGTAACAGACACAGGATACAATAACTTAATTCCAGTAATAGACACAGGATACAATAACTTGGTTCCAGTAGTAGACACAGGATACAATAACTCAGTTCAAGTAGTAGACACAGGATACAATAACTCAATTCAAGTAGTAGACACAGGATACAATAACTCAGTTCAAGTAATAGACACAGGATACAATAACTCAGTTCCAGTAGTAGACACAGGATACAATAACTCAGTTCAAGTAGTAGACACAGGATACAATAACTCAATTCAAGGAGTAGACACAGGATACAATAACTCAGTTCAAGTAGTAGACACAGGATACAATAACTCAATTCAAGTAGTAGACACAGGATCCAATAACTCAGTTCAAGTAGTAGACACAGGATACAATAACTCAGTTCCAGTAGGAGACACAGGATACAATAACTCAGTTCCAGTAGTGGACACAGGATACAATAACTCAGTTCCAGTAGTGGACACAGGATACAATAACTCAGTTCCAGTAGTGGACACAGGATACAATAACTCAGTTCCAGTAGTGGACACGGGATACAATAACTCAGTTCCAGTAGTAGACACAGGATACAATAACTCAGTTCCAGTAGTGGACACAGGATACAATAACTCAGTTCCAGTAGTGGACACAGGATACAATAACTTAGTTCCAGTAGTAGACACAGGATACAATAACTCAGTTCAAGTAGTAGACACAGGATACAATAACTCAGTTCAAGTAGTAGAAAAAGGATACAATAACTCAGTTCCAGTTGCGGACACAGGATACAATAACTCAGTTCCAGTTGCGGACACAGGATACAGACACTAAGTTTTGTATTGTGTACTACCTACCTCGGCTCATTAACATTGCACTGGTTGTTGCTGAACTCAACTTGTGGTCCCGAAGTGCCTGTACCCTGGGGTTTCTGTCCAATGGTACCCGTGGTGACGGCGGCTGTTCCTGCAGCAGCTGCAGCCTCACTGCCGTCCATCTCCTTCTTACTCTCTTCTGTGGTTGCTTGGCAACAGGCAGCGGTCGTAGCTACAGTATCCTTGCGGTCTTTTCTCTCCGGGCGAGGAGGCGGAGGTACAGGGACTTTTGACAGAAAGCCAAAGGACCAGGGTAAACCTGAATTATACACAATACGCTTTTTAAACACAGTGAATATATAGGGTGAAACTTTCCTAAGTCATCATCAGGACAATTCCATGTAGTGGACAGGTTTCTTCGTTAGTATACAGAAAGTTATGAAATTTCTTTCAACAGTTGAGAATTTGTTTCAAGTCAATTTAACGTGTCTCATGAATTCAGTATTTTTTACAATTAATGAAAATCAAACCGAGTTACATAAGAAATATCTCAATTTTCTTTTCGTTTTGGATTGTCTCTTTTTCATAGTACTTTGATTTTGAAGACATTTTACACTTGTATTTGCTAAACTGACTTTACATTTTTGAACACAGTTTTAGCAGATTTCTTTTTTTATCTGGGATGACTTTGTCAATACTGAACCACACAACTACATATTTGTTTTTTGAGAACAAAATATCTTCTTACTTGGCCATATTCACATTCATTTTTGACATATTTCCCCTTTGACCTTGATGTCAAGGTCACAGTAACCGAATTACAATTAACTGCACACTTTCAATGGATGTCAAAATATCTTTGACAATTAAATAGTTATGACCCAGACCAAATTTAATAGAAGCAGAATCAGTACAAATACAATGTCTCCATTTCTTCCACAAGAGACAAAATTACCTAAATCTTTAGAGCCGCCTGATGCTCCCTTCACAGTGGTATCCTTTTTCCTTGTGTTTTCATCTTGTTCTGTTTTGTGACTAAAATTTACGGAAATATGTAGTCTGTGTCCTTTTTGTTTTTAAATGCAACTGTTCTGAATTTAAAGTTATTTTCATTTGTGTAAGATTTGTAACTGAAGTCTCTTTTACGAAAATTTACCAAAAATATTGAAATTGACTAAAAAAAATGAGGCCTATTTCCAATTACATCTTGTAACTGGTATTAATTAATATAGGGCTGCTGTGGTCTACATGATCATTTGTTTAGTGAAACTTGGGAAAGGGGAAACAAATAATTGTCAGTGTTAGGGGTTTCACAAATGTGCCACCACACATTAATTTTCCCAAAATCTATTTATTTCTGGAATAGCTGTTACAAAGCCTTGTATATGACTTATGAGTGAATTAGACTTCTTTTAAATTAATTTAAAATTCATTCAATGGGAAGCATCATACAATACCACGATACCTCGGATGTAAAATGTTCTCTTACCTAGATTGGAGTTTGTTCGTGTACAGTGTGTTCTGAAAGTTGGGGGAGATCGATTCGTCGCCGTCCATTGAGTTATCTGACAGTGCGAACTGTTCTATGGTATCATCTGCTGGGTGGGTCACAGGATCATCAAGCTCTGTAACAACAGCTAAGTCATCAGCCATATTGGTTTAAGAGAGAACTGAATCAGCTACTGTATAGATTGTGTTGTATATTCACTGTTGAGACGGAACCATGATTGAGAATGAGTGTTTGACTTAAATGGCTCATGTTAACGAGAAAATGCTGTAAGCAGAAGTTTGTATCAAGAAATTATTTTAAGCATGAAACAGCAACAGAAATTACTCATAAAGCCTGGATGTTTTTCAATTGAAAAAGAGTACTTAAGCTTCCATATTTATTTATTATGATGGCTATCCATGAAACCACCTCTTTACAGAAACTACCCACAAACACTGTGAAAAGATTCATGTAGCACAACCAATAAGTGTTAATACATACTGGTTGTGCTACATGAATCTTTTCAAAATCCACACTTACCAACAAAGAAAAAGATGTTTTTTAAAATACCCACAAACAATTACCTGTTATACTGTACCGTAAACATGAATGCGAGTACAGAACCTGTCCACAAATATTTTCCTGTAATACCTTACTATAAACATGAACATTTTAGCTAATAAAGAGTTCTTAAACTTCCAAAATGTTTTCATGAAGACAACTCAATGAAACTTACCTTGCAGAGAATCACAGTAAGTTTCCAAATAAATATCAACAGTTGAAAATTGTTACAAATTGAACATTTACATGAAATAGTTTAGAGTTTACACAATCTGTTTTATCCCTTTGACCTTTCCCTATCTGTGTATGCTTCACTCTACCATTGATATTTGGCTTGGTGACCATGGCCTTGGCCTCTGTCTCATTAGTAACCGCTGAGTCAGCAACAGCCAGTGTGGACGTGGCAAGCTCCGAGAAACGTGCTCGAATGTTCTCTAACATGAGGTCAGTAGTGGGCGGGGTCTTCTTTTCCTTTCGGCTGGTCTTTGGCTTTTCTTTGGTAAGGGCCAGTGCTGCCTGGACGGTCTCCAACCAATCACCTCCCAGACAGCTGTCTCCTCCACCTGCTAGTACATCAACAGATGTTAAAACAGGGCAGTCTTTTATTACTTAAGTGACGTGGCTTTGGTATTGGGGATTTTTTTTTTATTTTTTTCTTTCTTGATTATACAAGAAATTGAATTTTTTTCCTCACAAATTTTATCTAAAAGACTAAACAACCCTTATTCACAGAATGAAATTGTTCTTGTCAACTATATTGATGTATGGGATGAATATGCTTGTGTGGTAGAAGGGTTCTTTATAAGTTATATTTGTGACATTTATAACCCACCCTAACGCATCAAATTCTATTTTATATATATCACTTGTACAGATAGTTTACTTAAAATATAAGGGCCTGTCCGTTCATGCCTACAATCCATTTGTCTGTTTTTAAATATTCCATTTTTTGCTATAAATCCTGACGGACCTGCAAAAGTTTATGCATTCCTTGCAAGGCTCACCTGAAGATAGCTTCTGATTATTACTGGGTCCGACCTTATTTCATAAAGGAACAACTCTGGCCCAACCAATTCAACCGTGTTGATCCCAATAATCGAAAGCGGCCAAACTGTCAGACTGGGTGTCCAGTTAATTTACAGAACGTCTACCTTAAGATTTGTTTAGGCCAAAAAAAAATGATTACTTGGTTCTCAGGCCCGCGCACATTTCATTTTAGGGCACCGCATTGCCGATTTTATCGTGAAAGAAATTTTTTAAAAATCGTGAATGCGCCAGCCGGTGTCTTAAAAAAAATTTGGAAAATTGGTCTGCATGTCACCGAAGTCACCGAGTCCCAAAATTGTTTGAATAAAGATAAAGGATTGGTATACAGGCAAGCGTTAAAATGATGATGACTTATTAGTCCTGTGTACAAATGGCGCTCATTTCGGTACAAATAAGGAATGGGGGGGTTCGTGATTCTCATCTGGAACATCATGGGGGGATTTTCAGAGGCTTGCTCTATGACAGGTCTCTTCACAACTATAAAAAGACAAGATAATAATGCCCACAATGAATGTTTTACAAACTACACAATAAAAAAAAATTGCCCTCGTCTCGTTTTTGCCATGTAAAATGATTTTTTTTTTACCTCCCTGCCGCATCTCTTTTGAAAAAAATGGCCTGAGAACCAAGTAATTAATTTTATTTGGCCTTACTTAACACCTACCTGCCAGGCTCGGTGTCCAGTCCCTCTCCCGAGTACGGTCCTGTAAAAACTGCATCAGTAACGTCTCCTCATCCTCGACCCTGGAGTGAAACATTCATACTTCATTCCATTCATAGAATGATAAAGCTAATACGCAAGTCAAAGAAATATGCTGTGATACTGTTGTGGTAATTTTCCTGTGTAGATTTGTTTTTTGACCCTTAAAATAGTTACATTAGTATAGTCCGATTGTTTTTCAAATGCAAATTTTACCACATTCATTTTGTGTTTTCCTGCTGCACCTAAGCAACTTACAAAATCATTAAAAGAATTTTAATGATCAGTTGAATATTTTGTTCAGTTTCAAAAACTGATAAATATGATTTCAAGCAGGATCAATTGTGGATGGGACAGATATACAGGTTAGTTTATCCAGTACCAACCTGTTTTCTGAACCAGTGATGTTTGACGACGCCTTGGCTGTGGCGGACGCAGTGTTCCCACGCCGGTCAAGGTCGTTCTCCTCCCACGTAATACTGTTTTCTACATCGTTGTCTAATGACCTGTAACAGACAGTAAACAATTTTTATCATCACATAAAACTGATAGGGAGTGCCGATATAATTTCATATGTCTGTCAGATATACAGGCTACATAATCGTTAAAAATGACCATTTATCATAACTGAACTCTGTTAAGCCCCATGGAAATGTCTTTGCCATATGAAAACAAAACAAATAAAAGACACTGAATCTTCATAATTACGAATACATTTACTCTTGTAATACTTGCCAATTCATGTTTTTCTTTTGCAACATACAAACTTTGTAGCTTTGTTTAAGACATAAATGAATTATCTAAAACATGTTGTTTATCATTAATGCCGTTTAATACATTCCAAATTAAACGCGATTTATTTTGATTTTCGAATGATGGCTAAGTAGCTGACAGCAGTTAGCACCCCCTGTTGGTAAAGTAATTGTAAGATAGGGGGCGCTGAGGGGTCAGTCTGAAAATGCGCATTGGGATACAGCGCATCCTTGTCCTTTTTCACCCCAAGGACAAGGATGCGCTGTACAATTTGACATTAAATGAGGCTGTGGCCATTTAATTCCATTATCTAGTTTGGTTTTATATTATTATGAGGAAATGTCTTAAAATAAGGGTAATACATTGTGTATATTTCATTTAGAAAGGAATTTGAAATGAGTATAGGAAAGTTACTAGTGGATAATAACAACAGAATCTGAGTGTATATAATTACATTGTTTCCTCGTCAATGTCGTTTTCATCGTTGTTCTCGGTGATGGTGAGCACAGCTTGAGTTCCCAGCTCTCCAATGTCTTCTAAGTCCTCTATAGAGTACTGACTTAGCTCCTGTTAACCAACATTCACTTCTTAGTATCAAATGCAGTGACATTTCAATCAAGCCAAGAAAGTGTTTCCAAAGACAACATATATTATCAACCCAAGAAAGTGTTCCCAAAGACAACATATATTATCAACCCAAGAAAGTGTTTCCAAAGACAACATATATTATCAACCCAAGAAAGTGTTTCCAAAGACAACATATATTATCACCCCAAGAAAGTGTTTCCAAACACAACATATATCAAAAACCCAAGAAAGTGTTTCCAAACACAACATATATCAAAAACCCAAGAAAGTGTTTCAAAACACAACATATATATTAATTTGTTAACAAAAAATTAAACTCATTAAAAAATATTGTAGAGCTTTTCATTTAAGAATATCATTTTTGAACGAATTTTTTAATGTAAAGTACCACGTACAGAAAAGAAATTTCCAAAATGTATTACCAGAAATTCCTGTATAAACATTTCACACCTGGGCCCGTATTCATGAAACCGTTCTCATGCACAAGCATGGATTCTATGCTCAAACCAGCTTTCTTGTAACTCGCTTAAATTACGTCAAACAATCAAAAGTCAAATGTAAAAATTAAGAACAGTATTTGGCTTTAAGTCTCTTCAATATTTTCCCAAACCATTGACAAAATCCGATTTTTTTTATTAATTAATAATGGGAACAAAAAATTTGGCTTGAGCACAAAATCCATTCTTGAGCATGAGATTGGTTTCATGAATAAGGGCCCAGAAATTAAGTAGATACAGTAAATGAACATATCAAGTGGCACTCTTATGTTGGCGCTTTTCAAACTTCACATATTGCGCTAAATTATCAACGTGCCAATTGAAGTGCTCTGGCATATTTTTTGGACGTGTCAATTCCTCAATGCGCTAAACTGTTAAAATTTTGCAATGCCCTAAAATTTGAGGGCGCTAAAATAAGTATGTTTACAGTATCATGAAACAGTTCAAAATCTGTTGAAGATGTTACCTCGTTAGAGTCTGTGGTGTCGGAGTCAGAGTCTGTTTCCAAGTTTTCATCGTCCGATCGCTCAATCTCAATCTCTGACCCCGTGCCTGGGTGGATAGGTTTGGGGTGCAAGATAGGGTGCTGTATGGAAGGGTTATCTCCCCCGTGGGGATCAATCAGGGGCAGAGGAGAATCTGAAACAAAGTCGAGCAATAGAGAAATAAATGATTTTAATATCTTGGCCGTAATTAGCCCCCTTCCTCTTATGAAGAACCATCCCTCTTTTTCAGGACTGAATTAAACCTCTTATGAAGAACCATCCCTCTTTTTCAGGACTGAATTAAAGATGTAAGTGTTGTTTTTCCTAAACACCCTCCATTCTTGATTATATTACTAAATACACATTGTATCAGACACTGCAGTCTTGAAATAGAACTTAACTTTTCCAGTGTTTTTAAATTTGAAGAGAACAAATTTTGAATTGCCCCTGGGAATGTGTCCGACAGTTACATTGCACAAACAGCCAACAACTACTTATTTTCTGTTAATATCTTAAAAGAACCCCCTTCAGCAAATTGTTCATGCACCCTGGCCTTATGGCAAATAGGGTAGGTACTAATTGTGTTTGAGCAACGTCTATATCCTAGTTCAACCTACCTGCTGATGTGGTCACTCGTTTGCTGGACCCTTTACTTCTAGACATCTCCATCAGGTGCACACGCTGACAAGAAACAAATTTACAAATCAGAACATATTTCCTCAGGTATTTTAGAATTTATCATCTACTTTGAATTGTAAAAATAAATAAAATGTGAATAAGGTGACAGTACTCTTCTTAAATGTACAGCAATTTTTGGAGATTATTTTTTTATACAAAATAAGAAGACAGCAAATGGTACACAGTACATCCCACAATCATTGTGAAAGTCAAATTGATAGTATGGTGTACAAATGTAGTAGAACTAGACTGGGTTGATCGTTGGCGACTAGGGCCCACTTGTATAAAACATCTCAACTCTTGAGATTTCCTCAAGTCTAAGATTTCCCATAGACAATACATTGCTTGAGATTTTCCTTAACTTTGAGATGTTTTATACAAGTGGGCCCTGATAACTCAATTGGTAGAGCATCCATCTAGAGTTCGGAGGGTCCTGGGCTCAAGTCCCGGTCTAGCTGTGTATTTTCTACTCCTATAAATCTCCTAAATCATATATGTGGTAGTGATGGAAATTTGTTTGTGCAAACAAGCTGTGTGGGCTATGGTGTTGAGCCGGTGGAAAGACAGAATGTTTTAAAATTCGTTAAATATGTTGAAAATGTTCCTTGTATCTAATAAAGATTCTGTATGGGGTGACCTTGACCTTCAAGTTTATGACAGATAAATGTTGCCAGTATACATTCCACCAAAGGCTGGCATATAATAAGATGGGAGAAGGCATATAATAATAAGATGGGAGAAGGCATATAATAATAGGATGGGAGAAGGCATATAATAATAAGATGGGAGAAGACATATCATAATAAGATGGGAGAAGGCATATAATAATAAGATGGGAGAAGGCATATAATAATAAGATGGGAGAAGGCATATGATAATAAGATGGGAGAAAAATACGATCATATTTTGAAATAACCAAAATACAACAGGTCAACATTAAAACACAAACAGATTGTTTCACCAGGGTCATTTATAGTAGTTTTACTTCAAAATATTAAAGGTTATATTTAACAAAAATTGAGAAGAATAGAAGAATAACAATGTTTACAAAGATGACAAAATACTAGGGGGGGTGGGGGGGGCAGATTACTGTTGATTGTAAAATTACTACTGTTATAAGGAATTGAAAGTGCTGACCTCCTTCAAATGGTTGAGTTGTCCCATGTTTTGAGCTTGTGCAGATTCCAGTTGATTGATGTACCTGAAATAAACATGTATGATTTTTTTTATCATTTCTGTAGTTACATATTATATATCAGTCAAACCATGTCTTGCTGTTCTTGCAGGGGCATACAATGCCACAAGTCTAACAGCTGGGGCCAGATAGCATGTAATCCTAAGGCAGCAGATCTCCAACTCATTTCTATCCAGTGTTTGAACTTAACTCATTCACCTCTAAATACACAACTGAACTCTTCCAATTCAAAGGTTTGAATAGTCCATTATGAAATTTCAGGGATGAATGAGTTAATGGTAGACCGACCCATAGACACTCACATGAAAATCACTGTTGGTCTATTGGAATCATTTATTTTGTTGACCAAGTTGTCTATGAAGTTATTTCCTATGATGTGTGATATTCCATGGTAAGTTCAGTAGCGAGTGAGAAAGGCTTTGTTTACTCAATCTTTCCTTTACTATTACATATATTTTCTTCATTTAATGTTGTCAACTACTAAATATACGAGTTATTTGTTTTTGGTAAAGGTCAGATCTATCAAAGTTTCAGTTAAACATCTGTATCTCATGGACCTACTGTCTATGTGTAAATTCTAATTAAGTCTGTCTATTCATCCGATTTGAAACTTAATGAAGATCCTTTTATGAAAATCAGATTTCGGAAACTTGGTTCTCTTATTGAAACCCTCTACATCTGCCACTCTTTCCATGAGTTTCAAACTGTGACAGAACTTCAAGGAATTATTAATATAGACGTCTTTTATGTAATATTTCGAGTAATTTGCTTGTCTTTCACCCAGAACTTTGACTGACATAAAAATACTTTTAACATTTTTTCAAGGATTAGTCAGCATTTCTTGGATGTGTTCATGTAATAATGTGGGTTTTTTTAATTTAAGAATGGTCTTTACTTTTTTTACATTGTTAAAATTTTACATTTCCTCTAAAATATTCTAAGAGTAAGATTTTCTGCAATATCCACTGTTTCAAGGCAAGTGGTGATTTCTTAAAAACAATTTCATATATTTTATGCTTTCTTTTTCTCTCCTCATAATATTCAATTCTTACCATTGTTGGTCCCTGCACTTCTGGTAAAAGGTCGGAGGTCGGACTTGGAACCGGAGAATCAGTGTATCCGACTCTGTATCGAGGTACCCCTCACTGGCAAGAAGATCTAGACGGAAAAAGCGATTGTACCCCCAACACTCTCCAACTTCGAAGTCGGATGCAAACTCTCGGACAATATTTTTACTGCTGTCCCTTGACACCTGATGAACCATCTCAACACGGTACTCGTACCTAGGGAACAAATATCACAACATGTTAGTAAGTTCCTGTTCGCGTGATCAACATCTTCACTGAATCTTCATAAAAGTGACTAAAGTATCTGTGTGACTATTATATATTGCAAAACGTCATGATTTTTGTGACAAACTGATATCGTTAACACATTTTTGAAATCTGTGAAAGCTCTTTATAGGCTCAAAGTAAATTAAAACAAAGATTAAGTCGATCAATAACAAAAAGCAATAATGAAATAGCTTTGACCACAATATTTTTTTCTAAAATATTTAATTGTGCTTTATTAGCAAACGAAAGATCATGTTGTAAACTCAGCTAGGTCACTCCAGCCTAATAAGGAGATATATTTAACAGCTTTACATGTAAATCTCGTTAGTTCTGTTTTCTGTAATATTTTCCATTTCAGGAAATTTTGCATGCTCTGTCCCAAAACCTGTGGTACTTACTTCGATGTTTCTGACAGGCCAGCAGACAACTCGAGGAAGACGGAGAGATAATTCCCCCGTACAACACCATTACCATCCTGTACACAAAGACAACAGATAACAGTTTAGGGATGACATGAAATCTTAAATCTTCACATATTCCTTTAAACAGATCTGTATGTATGTCAGATTGAAGCTGGTTTTTTATTTGCTACAGGAGACATTTGAACATCCTAGAACAAAATCAAAATTGAAGAAGTGCCAAAACCTTAAGCTGATTTTGAACTTGGCTTTGTGTTCCCGTAATAATTGATGAAATAGACTTGGAGTCTCCAGCTGATTTCCATATATTGCCTGTACGTACAGGATAGACTTGGGAGTCTCTAATGATTTCCATTTACTGCCTGTACTTACAGGATAGACTTTGAGTCTCTTATGATTTCCATATGTTGCCTTACTTACTGGGTTGACTTCGAGTCTCTTATGATTTCCATATACTGCCTGTACTTACAGAATAGACTTTGAGTCTCTAATGATTTCCTTATACTGCCTGTTCTTACAGGATAGACTTTGAGTCTCTAATGATTTCCATTTCCTGCCTGTACTTACAGGATAGACTTTGAGTCTCTAATGATTTCCATATACTGCCTGTACTTACAGGATAGACTTTGAGTCTCCAGCTGAGACCTGACACATGTAATGGCTGACTGTATACTGGGTCGGCCCTCTGTTGTAGTCCGCTGAATTTCTTCATCACAAATGAGCTTGTGTCATACTGTGGTACAATTTCACTGCAAAGAAAATACATCAGTCAAATAATATACCTATTAATGTATGATATGTAATCTAAAGGAATACAAATTAAAAATCAAAAGTGTGCTCAAATTATCCACCTATTTTGACTGTCAAAACTGATAAACATAATTAGCACAATCGTCGTTTAGTAATACTGAGATCGTTTTCGACGCAAATTCCTTTCTTTTTAATGTTAGGAATATCTAACCTTGCAGTGTTGACAGAATTATGTCAAAGATTGTTTGATTTTAAATTGATTTCATACACATATATATATATAAGGATATCATCTTGAAATCTGGTGGTGATCTGGAACTAAATCATAGGGGGCCTAGTGGTGATAATCGCCAAATTCAGCCAACCACTGGACAGGATTGGGCAAAGACTGCAAGCAAATTTAGGATAACAATAGGCACACCTACTGAAGTAGGTCCAGCCTAAAAAATATCTTCCACATTTTAGAACTCAAGAGACCAATAACAATGCCTACCTGGTAAAGTCAGCCGGTACTGCCGCGGTGACAAAAGATGCCATGGGTTTCCTGTTGACGTGTTTGAAGAGTTGTACAAGCTCACTGCTCTGGGCGATGAGTTCACTTTTCCCCCTGCTACCCATCTGATGGTTAATCTTCTGTATGAGGGACTCGAGTAGCTCAGTTTCCTGGGTCAGCTGACCTCTTTGACCTTTTGACATACAAATAACAAACAACATCACATACCTGCCTCATAAGCTTAACCAAGTGATAGAAAATGAAAAATCACCGATATATAACAGCCATTCATAGCAAGCTTCTGATTTAGATACATCTAGTGTATAAATATATATTTTGAAAATAGGAATGCAAAATAATTTATTATCAACAGCCGCATCCTCGATACTCCAGGGGTTACGCTCATGTACACTCTGCACCCCTGTAATATGTCATGACAAAATCAAAGGCTCAGTAAGCACAGATGAGACAAGAAGACTAGTTTGATCCTGTGATGTACATCAAAAGAATTTTTTGGAGGCATTACGGTAAAATGGACTGGCTTCGAACTTGGATGCAACTCCTCTGTAATCTTCAAAGGTCAGGTATCAGCCTAGCCATTGGTCAGGTATAGCTACCCAAAACCAGTCAAATAGCTAGCAGTATGCCTTTGTTATAACATATATATTCCAGATGTGCAGAAATTTCTTAAAGCAAAAAGTGAGCATAACCCCGGAGTATCGAGACGCAACAGCGAGGGTCTGTTATAACATAAACATTGCTATATATAACAGTGCTTTGAAATTTAATAATGCACACAAGCTGTGGTTTAATGAAGAATGATATTCAACTTTGCAGATTTCTGCTAACTGGTAAGCGAGTAATGAGCGACCAAACATTAAATTTGTCAAATTTTTAGACGTCAACTCACGAATGTTAAACTTCGAACATCTTTGAAATCTTGAATGTACTGCATAAGACCAAATATGATTGTTATCTGATGGCAGGGCAAGAAATATAATTTGGACTCGATCAAAATATTGGATTTAGGGTAATTTGAAAAAATATTTTCAAATGTACATGCTTTTATAAACCGTTATAAATGGTAGTTGTCATTTTCATTGTTTTCATAAAGATTGGACCTAGATTATTTGAATCTTCGAAATTAAATTTATGACAGTTTGACTGTATATGAAGATAATTTTCAGAGTGTTTTATTGTGGTCATGATTTGATGCCGATCAGAACAGCATGGCTTATATACCTACCCATCAGGGTGAGTAGTTTAGACTTAAGTTGAGACTCCAGTCTGGCGATCATCAGCTCCACAGCATTCCTAATCTCCCGTACCCTCTCATCTTTGGCAGTCTTTACACTTTCTATATTTCTCTCCTACAATAAGATTTTAATCCATGTTTTTTTTACTTGGAATAACATATTTTGCAAAATTAATGTATTTTACTTTAAAACCAGTAATAAATTTCCCTCCATCTACTGCAAATGAAGACAGCGGATAACGTGATATTTGAGACAAAGATATTTGAATCCTGGACTTATTCTTTCCCTGTGGGACTCACCAACTTTCTTGATAACCCACTATATCTCTTAGTAATGGGACTCATCGAAATATTCGAAAAAGATGTTCAGGACTTGCCAGAAAATTTTCCCCAAAAAAGTCACAGGAATAACATTTGTTATTTCATTCTCTTTTTCTTTTACTTTTCAGATATTGAAAATCTACAGTCTAAACCCCAGGACTGGTATTTCTCCCTGAATGTGTTGCATCCATGAACGCCTTAGAGACTTACCACATCCTGTACAAGGCTGATGAGTTCTACGTGACGACGCTTCAACTGATTCAGCTCCTCCGTGACCTTCTTAACATGTTCCTCATATACACCATCTAGTGGCTTGAACGTGTGGCCAGAATGCTACAAATCACAACGCCATGATTTTTGTGTTATCTAATACTCTGTTGAAAGTTTACAATATCATTTTTCGTTCTGTACTTGTACATTTTTTTAATAAAGACTAAATCTGCAGGCATTTTAATGATGTATGGGAAAAAAAACACTGACTTTTTGAAGTTTTGATGTAGTATGGGGGTCGGGGGGGGAGCCACTTCAATAATTGTTTATTCATTTAAATTTGTAAATTTGATGAGTGGCTCAAGGAAATATAGAAATGTGGTAACTGGGTGGCCAGGGGTAACAAAAAAGTGTCTCCATGGTCCATCCATGTAAACAAAAAAAATCTGGAATAACCTATGGGCAAATAGTTATTACAATATAAGCATTTTTTTCTTTTACAAAGTGTTGAAAATAACAGCAAAGTGGACTTACTGTGCCTCCCCAAAGAGCACACTGGTGACATATACACTGCTTACACGCCCAACAGTACACGGTCAGCTTCTCCTGGTGTTCCTCACATCTGTACACAGAAAAGGAGAGCCATATATCATTATAACTGTAACAAATTCCAGTGGAGTTCTGGTCATCCCCCCCCCCCTATATAATAAACTACTTATTAAAGGTTGCATGCTTCTTATATATCATCTTTTGTTGGCTAACTCTCTTTTCTGACCTAGTCATCCTTAAAATTCTATAGCTTCAGTGAGGCAAAGCAACCCAGACCCCTCACCTGGGGTTTCCACTTTGGTCCCTAGTTTCAATTTGCTTTTCCCATCCCGTGAGTCAGTTGATTTAGTTTATGGCTGTGTTCTTTATCTATCTATCTATCCATCTATTGTCATATTTGGTGATGAGCAAAACAAGGTATGCACCAAAAAGAATGTAAGCAAATAGAGATCCTCTCTCCATGTCATTGCTGTCTTTTTATCGCCATGTTAGAAACTGACTTAAGCTAGCTATTTTTAAGCATAACTTCACTTGAAGGAACAATCGACAAAGTACTAGAATGTTACACAAGACATCATCTACACACTACTCATGCTACTACCCTATCAGGGATTATCACTCCTTCTCTAATGTTCCTTAAAGATCCCTGTCCTCCTTAATTTCGTTTTAGATGTAACTGTAGCAGTTATGTCAGGATACTGCTGCTGACCAGGTTGCTCAGTCAGTTAGAGGAGCATTGTTGCTGATAAATTCTTGTTAATTTCATGCAAGGTAAGGTTTTCTTTCCAGATTTGATTTATCAAAGCTATATATAGTCATGCTGGGAAGACAGTTTCAGACGTGTAGTTACAGTTTTTGGTAGTGATATGGGAATCCTTAAATAGCTTAATTCTCATTGGCCAATGGAAAATATGTTACCATTTTTTCTCAATTTCCTCCAAACCATTTCCCAAATGCCAAAATTTGAATGTCATTTTTTAATCTTTTTCTTTTAAAGCTGTAGATTTTTTTAAGCATGATAAGGCCAGAAAAGCCAGTTGGTTGTTCAAAGATATAATAGATAAGACATATTTAAATGGTAAAAACAATACAAAATTCATTCCACTTCCAAATTCATCAAGATTAGGATACTGACTTTTCCAACATTCCATCCAAAAATACTCTAAAACCTTTGGAACCTACATGTCTTTATCTTCCTCCTCCTTTTTAGCAGCGGGGGCACATTCCTTGAGAGTATCCAACTTCTGTGTCACCTCCTCTGCCCAGCGACAGTTGACAAGCTCGTGGGTGTGAAGAGATGCCCTAAAAGCAAGCAATATCAGTATGTAGAAATAATGTCAATCGTAAATAATACAGACATATTAAAACCAACCCTACGGTCTTTAAACTACCTATTAACGTGGAAAAAATGATCGAAAGTTGTTTCATTCATACATATTTTTTTCATTTTTATTTCCGACAACTTGATTTTTTTTATACATTTTTAGGTCTGATCACTCAGATCATCACCATATTAATTGATAGTTTAAGAATAATTGTTTTATTAAAGAGGGTTTCTGTCACTTTTCTTTTTGTGAAATATTTCTTGTTTCTATATGGAATTTTTTTTTAAGTATTCATTAGAAAGATTTCTACTATAGTTTCGATTTTCAGCTTTCAGGACTAAAACTCTCATTTTAAAACTCTCTTGGTCACCCAAGAGCCCCAAGCTGCTATGAACATTTGTATCAGTAAAAGAAATTGGAGCAATTTTCATCAAATTGATGGCAAAAGATCAAAGAACACTGAATATTATGATGCTAGTCATAAGTCAAATTTACCTGCAATGAGGACACTGTGACCGCTGTTCTGTTAACCATCTCTGTAATTATAGCAGAAAAATTAGAAAAATTAGAAAACTACAAAGGGACTATCAGTGTTCCCAGAAACCCCCGAAATAGTTGGTTGTACCCCCAATTTTCAAGAATTGCCTCATGTATGGCAAGTATCTAGGAGCACAAAATCTTGAAAATGATCAAATATTCCCACGAAATCTAAAATTCAGTGGGAACACTGGACAATCATTGGAACAGGAATTCATTTGTCTTTTCATACCCAGAAATTGTATACATGGTTAGAGGTGACCTAAACCATTTTCAAGTTTAAACCTAAAGACTTTATTCCCAGAACCCGGCATGACCCAAATGGCAAATATGTTTGCACTAGTGAATTATTTTCTTCATGAAATTAATGAAAATATCTCTACATTCACCATATCAGAGAATTTATTTTGTCAATTCTTACAGAAACCGACACATGAAAAAACTGACAACATATAATATATAATATTGGGAAAGGCAACTGTATTCAGAAACTCTACCATTATTACATATATTAGACCAAAAAAATATGAAAAAAACTTGTTTCCACCACCATCATCTTCAGAGAAACTAAGGTAGGTAGACATTTTTTTTTTATTTCAGAAATTATTTTTTCTTTGCTTACATACACGAAAGCAGGAGTTCTGACTTTAACAGTGCATATCGCTTAATGCCAATGCAAACTTTGGGGTAGGCACAAATAACAAGGGTAGGTAGGGCTAGCGGAAACACAAGAATGTTTGTATTAGGCCTTATGACAATATTAAGTATTGCTTGTTTGTATACCTACCCGGATACAGATGAAACAGCACAACTTGGAACAGTGAGGACACAGGCGAGCATCCCGCAGCTTTTCCATACAAATGAAACATCGGAAAACCTCTGCAAGACCCTGTACAAATGGAGAACAAATTAGCTCTGATGTTGTGCAATGAAAACATACATGTAAATTTAAAACATAGTAAGAGATATATTCAGTAGTACACGTTGTGGTTCAGTGACCTGAGCAGATCAAATAAGAATGCGGTACACAAATTTCCACACATAATTAATTTATACTCATGTTCAATTTGCAATTTCTGCAGGCCTGATATCAAATATAACTTGTAGCAAAATAAAACTTGGTGTACTTCCACTGGGGATTGAACCCTCGATCTCCAGGTTCCTAGTCGGATGCTCTACCACCGAACTAAAGGGAAATTCCCTCTAGCTCGAAGGTGACCTTAAACCTATGTACAATTAAAACCTGCCACAGTATCGACAATACTACACAAGATACACAGATATTGTTCTCACCAAAGGATTTTCCATATTAATTCCTCTGCTGTCAGTTCTATTATATATTTAATAGTTCCGTAATATAAGGATAACATGATTTGTGATTATTTTTGCAAATAGCAAATACATTGTTGATAATGTCACAGCTCTTAAATTAAAAGTAAACGAATGACAAATAGTTTATTATAAACCTATAGTGTATGGCAGGTACATGTAAGCTTGTGATTCAAATTAAAGTGATGCCATTTGTATATACACATGTAAGATTTGTATGTTAATGATAACTATTAGGGGAAAATGAAAGAGCAATGACCATTGATATTTCAATCCCAAATTTGGGAACATAATAAACAGGCACTAGTGCCAAAATTGTAACTTAGCTATCTATCCACATGATGCTTTTGTTTTTGAGAGTCCATCAGCTGGTCACCCAATCCAGATGGATCTCTGAATCTATGTATACCTGTACATGTATACATGTGTATATCAAGAAATATGCCAAATTAATGGCATTATTATTCTTATAGACTACTGTCACTTGTACTTTATTTCATGATTAAGAGTCATATTTTCGAACACCTGTGATGCATATGTTGAACAAGGTTTGTGTGTATTTATAGTTTGAACGACCACTTGGTGATTGAGTGGTTTAGGCATCTGATCTGCGATCACTTAAGGCCTCCACCACAAAGCCTATGCGGGGCAGTCGCTAGGTACTAGCCGCAGGTAACTTGTTTTTGTCTAGGTACTACGATTTTCCAACACCACAAAACCTTGCACGCCCTTAAATGACCATAGCTGTTGATAGGACGTAAAACACAACATAACAAAACAAAACCATTCAGCTTGCACAATCTGTGTTAAGATTGTGATTTTAAATTTGGGACTAGACATTTGGTCCACCTGGTCATTACCGATCGCCCCATTTCAGATCCGTGGCACTAGTACTATGCTGTAACAGTGTCCGATTAATACACCGAGTACAGTAGAGCTGCTCGTATATGACATTTCAGGATGTTCGACTCACCCCCAATGAAAATTATTAGGACTCGAATTCAAAACCATCTATAGCTACTGTACATCATCTATGTTTGGAATGACAGAATAATCGTTGAACTTATTGAATTAATTAAAAACAAGTTTGCAGACAAAACGAGTTTCATGAACAGAAAAAAATAGCTTTGAGTCAGACTGAATCATGGCCGCTGAATCATTGGAAAATGTCTCACTTCGACCGTGTGTTCCTCAAGCCTTCCGTCTTTTCTTCCGCCACCCGATGCCATTTTTCAGACGAAATGTAAGCCCGTGGTTGATAATTGAACCTCACTTAACGAGGAATGTTGTCAGATATGAACTGATTTTCCTTTCACTCATAACAACTGGTTTGTTTTGAGCTCCTGTCACCATTTTGGTTTTTGTCGCGCCAGACCGTGCAATTTTCTGTCAGTGATAAATATTTTTTCGTGTAATATCATAAAATGTACTATCAGGTACCAACAAGTAAATATTTAAGAATTTTTGGTGTAGCTAATATCTAATATTCATATATACGTGAAATTGTTTACATTAAACATTTGGTCCAATTAGCGACCACCTGTAAATTGTTCTCATCCGCTCAATATATATTTAGAAATAGATTGTTAAGATGCGGAAAGAAATTGGCAATATTAAAGATCCATATCTTTATAAAAGATACGAAAATATCTAGTCTATAGCAGTTTTTCTGATTTTTCCTTATGAATATTAACGGTTTTGCATTTTTTCTGTGAATACATAAAATGCTAAATATATCATTGCTAGCCTATGTGAGTGAGTTCTTTTACTGTCTTAAAAAAGGGAAATAATAAGGCAGAGACTTACGTACATTACATTGTTAAAGCCAGTAGTATATATATGATATACGTCTCTGAATATGGAAATAAGTGTATGTCATATATGTGTTGCAAACTGTTTTTAATTATGAATTCTGAATAATACAACACTTCCCTATGTGCAGGCAAAGTTGTATCATTTATTATTTTTTCCTAAGATGTCAGGAAAGAAACTTTATATCACTAATTAACCAAAACGTTATCAATTTTAGAAAAATCCTGCGTTTCTTTGATGTAAAGAAAATGTTTCTAAATATTTATATTTCACTGAAAATATCTCTATAAGCATTACCAGAATAGAATATACTGCATTCATAGGGCTATGAGCGCAATTCTGCATTTTGAAAATTTTCCTCCCGCCTCAAATAAAGTGAGACCACTGTAGCAAACATTTTGGTGACAATATCCCTAGGGTATTTCAGGTATCTCGTTTGCACTAGTTAACGATACATGCAGACACTGCAATATCGAATAAATGATAAGTATAAAACATAGAATGTAAATATATGTATTGGACGTCACTATTTTCAATATTATGCCGTTATGAACGCATATTGGTTACATGCCTATTAATTAATCATGAAGCGGAAAATATGTATGTTTCCGATTTGCGTTCATACCGGCATGAACATTGAAAAATGCCTTTCAATTCCTTTATATAAGTTTATGAATGAATCCTTTGTAGTCTGAACGAAATTACGAAGAACCACCTTCCGTTAACCGGCCTGTCTTATGCAGGCTTTGCCTCCCTCCGTTCTGCAACGATTAATAAAATATATTTTTTATGTTGGAGAAGAGCAAGGCTAAGAAAGTAGATAACAAGATAACAAAGTAGATAACATCTGTTTATCATTACTTGTTGTCACTTTCGGCTTTCATGTTGAGCGTTCGCCAAGGTAAAGAATGCAATAGGTTCTGTCCAAAGGCCGGGACATACCAGTCCATAAAAATGGTAGTTGTTGTTCCCTGCTAACGTTCAGCATTGAGGGTAATGGCAACAACTGGGTCAACCAGTATAATGTGACCGGGTGGAATGCTGTGCTGGGTGCCTTCGGCGTGGTATTTCAGTGAGATCGCACTATAAAGTCGGCATAGATCCGCGCTATCACAAGGAGTCAATTACGTATACACCAACATATATCCTGTCGCCTGCGCACATACACACATGCACGCATACACAACACACATGGAGACACGTCCTTAAATGACCTTAGCTGTTATAGTAGGACGTTAAACAAAATAAAACCAAACCAAACCTTTTTTGCAGTTTACAAGAAAAGTCATCAATGAATTGATACCGATTCTCGCTAAATATATCATGCCGCTTTTATCAACATCAGCTTATAAAATGTATCATTTAAGCTTGTCGTGGAATTATTGAATGTCACAAAAGTGTTTGATATAGACCTACACGTATAGGTCAAATTTTTAATTTTCCAGCATTGTTGAACATGGGACCTGGTTTGAAGAACGATGATGAGACATCACAGTTGGGAAATGCAATTTGTGTTTATGTGAATTATTCAATTTCTTGATGCAATCAAATGCTGTATTACAATGTTATTAAACGAAGTACAATATTTGTCGGTCATAATAAGGCACTATTGTCACACAAATTGGGTCATTGAATTGTTTTTGATCGTTTAAAAAAATAATCTTGGATACAGCCCTGATGAAGTTTAAGTATTTTTCTAACCCTTTTTGGTCGTCATAACATATTCATCCGTAACTATCCTCGATACGCCGATCCTCAATACTCCAGAGGTTACGCCACGCTCTTTGCACCCCTGGAATATGTCAGGTAAAATTGAAGGCTCAGTGTACGGTGCCTGATTTGTACCATTTCGTTGTTTCGTTTGTTTTGTTTCTTTGATATTGTTTAACGTCCTATTAACAGCTAAGGTCATTTAAGGACGGCCTCCCCTGTGTGCAAGATGCATGCGTGTAGTGTATGTGTGTGTTTTTTGAGAGGCTGCGATATGCTCGTGTTTGTCTCCTTGTGATAGCGCGGAACTGATGCCGACTTTATAGTGCTACCTCACTGAAACATACTGCCGAAGACACCCAGCAGGACGCCCCACCCGGTCACATTATACTGACAACGGGCGAACCAGTCGTCCCACTCCTAATTTGCTGAGCGTTAAGCAGGAGTATAAACTACCATTTTTAAAGACTTTGGTATGTCTCGGCCAGGGGACAGAACCCAAAGCCTTCCTCACAGGGGCGAACGCTCAACAAATGGCCAAAAGTGAGGCATTTTCAATATATTTTGCACCCAAAAACCCCTCCCCTACTACACTTTCATTTATGGGTGGGTTCATATAACCACGGACTTAGATAATCTAATTCCGTGATATAACATATAAAAAAAAATACGCATCAAATCACGACCTAAATATAGAGTCTGATTTGATGCTTGCACAACCTTCACATTAAATTTTATGACGTCATGATTTCGTCACAGCAGCATTTTTGTGTAAACGTCATCAGAAATGTCGTCTTGGCAGCCATTTTTCAAGAATTCTTGATTTGCGTTAGTCTATTTACTTAAAAACTAAGGTAAATACAATGAGTTTTAAAGAAACAACTTCTTATAATGATAATTGATTTGCGTAACTCGATCAGTGCTGATTTAGATACTGTGCAATATATAGAATGCGGACATAAATTTTACACCGGCATTTCTTGGCTTTGACAACCAACCATAAACAGGGACGTATAATGTCCCTGCCATAAATTAGTTGTTTCGTGGGGAGACTTGAAAGACAAGAAACCTTAACACCTTTCTCTTTTTCATTTCTCATGTGCAATTCGTTTCGTTTCTATCTACAGTTGGCGATATACATCATCTGTTACTCGGTAATGTATTGTCGTCGGCTTATCCTTGGACGAAATGTTTGTGTGTGTGTCCAACTAACAAGAGGTCTCAAAGATTTCTACAGTATGTCGCAAGCCGTGGGCGACAACAAGAATAAGGTGTACAAGGTGGTCTTAACAGGTGGTGAGTATCATAATGACAATTATAACGTGATCAAGGAAAACATTGTAACTGGGTCCCAAGTTCTGCACGTGGTCGCTCGGGTTATGTTTCTGGCGCTAAATTAAAGGACACTCGAGAAAGAAAGTATGGTTTTTTATCAGCACGAAAAGACAGGTAATTGACAAATATATCGAAACCTTAAATAGTGATGTAGTGGAAAATCAATACATCAATTACAATTTGATTAAATAATTCGCGAAGGTAACGACACTTTTTGTAGGGTTACCTCCCCTGGCTATGATTGGTACTGAGTCTGAGATTAGCCTTAGGCCTATCAAACATTTTTGTAAATATTAAATTTGATAAACATAACATGAACTGTGCATTGTCGAAAAGTGCATTTTTGATTGTTTGACATAACCACAGCAGTTATATCATGATTGAAAGGAAGGTTTAATTGGGATTCATATCTCAAAAAAGGTTGACCTACACGTGCACTAATTATAAGGAGGCAGTACCCAAGTCGGATCACTTTTTGCAAAAATACTTATAAGTAAATAAATGTGTCAACAAAGTAGTTATAACAACGATGTAGTCTTAGAGCCATGCACCATTTTTTGATTACAGACAATTAGTTTTTAAGTTCAAATAGCACAAGAAAACGTAAATCAAACTCAAATGTCAGTGTTTTGATAAGTTTTAAAAAAATGGTGCATGCGACAACTTAGCATTCTGTTTTGGACTAATGGACTATAGGAATTAATTCACACAATATAAATTCTTTTTAGCCTACCATCATCTGGCTATTCAAATCACCCTTCGTCCGTCGTCCGTCCGTAAACAATTCTGGTTATCAGTATTTCTCAAGAAGTACCAAGGGATCTTTCTCAAATTTTATATGTAGGTTCCCTTTGGTCCTTAGCTGTGCAAGCAGTACCTGAAATGGACAGTTGCCAATGGTGATTAAAGTCTTGCTCGGGCGACCAATGGTTTTCAAAAAAGAGGTAGTCACTGGCCCAACAAAAATAGTTTGGGCGCTCGAAAAATTTATGAAAAAAAGAAATTATAGTCCCTTCCACATAAACTGGGGGCAGTATATTTTTCAGTTGTCATTACTCCGATTTAAATCGAACCGTCAGTGATTTAGAAAATGTGATTTTTTTCCAAGTTTTCTATATAAATATGGCCAGGGTTTGGGCCACCAATATGTCATTTGGGCCTTGGCCAGTGCTTCAAATTTTTTTATTGCCCATTTTCTTTTTGGACTAGTCAATGCAGGTTCCCCACTTTCCTTTATTGTTTTCATGTTTACTTTTGAAACTGATCAGTTAAACAAAATGGCCTACCGACAGCCATCTTCGATATGACATTGAAGGTTTGTTAGTACAATTTCTCAGGAATAACTTGAGGGATCTTTCTCAAATTTGATATGTAGGTTCCCCTTGATCCTTAATTGTGCATGTTATATTTTGAGACTGATCATAAAAACAAAATGGCTAAAGGAAGAACTAAACAGATATTTCTCATATTGCAATGATCGATTCTATTTCTTTCACATTAAGTACAGTACTAGTAAATATGTGAAATGACAAACTCACTTTGAAGGTTGGCTTTCATACACGTCAGTATTAAGTTAAGATAAAAAGTTACCTCAAGGTGCATTTACTGTTAACATGACTCGATCAAACAGATTAGCGGAAAGAAGAGAAAAGATCGAACTGACAAAGAAATAATTAAGATGGTACAATGGTGGGCGCCAAGATCCCTCTGGGATCTCTTGTTTTACATTCAGGTGTGACATTTGCAAAGAATATTTACCACAGTTAAAAGATTTGTTAAATAATTTTGTGAAATTTGAATTGTTAACTTCTACATTTGCTTCCTTAATACTTCTCGGACTTACTGTCCTGACCCGAAGCTTTAGAAATATCTTATACTCATATATCAGACATATGATATGATGGTACTAGTATAATATATATATTTATAAGTGTAATTATTTTTGTTACATGTATCTATAATAAATATATCAAAATGCTTCATGATGTTTTAGTGTCCAGAGTCGTCATCAAACACATAAGTCGTTGACTGAAGGTGTCCGTTACACCTCACTATGTTTAACAATATTTGTCATAAAAATTATAAAGGTCATCATAATTTGTTATATGCTGACAAAAAATATTCATTTGAAGCGTAAGATACTGCAAAATTCAAGCCTTGATCTGATTTGGGTCCGGACATTCGCAGAAACCGGAGATGCTGATTGGTGACTACAAAGCGTTCTATAAAAATCTCAAGTGAGCCCCGGGTGCTAATTTCATTTGTAAGAACACCCATCGATATTCTTCCTTTTGATACAACCATAAGTGAATATTATTCCTCTTCAGATCTTCAGAAATTGCGGGTGTGACAACTCTGTGCTAGCTATAAATTATATGAAATACCGTGGTAGCACATTACATCCCTGTGGACTGTATGTTGCTTTACTTCTGGAAGGCATAGGATAAAGTACTTTATAGATGGCTGTTTATGAAACTAAAGTAATGAAGTGTTTATGGACCAATCTATTTATTGCATTGATATCCAGCTTATTCAAATTGAGTGACCTTAGGCAATGTCGTCCAGCTGAAGGATCACTCCTCAAATTCTGCTAAGTTACTTTAGGAGTTCCACCCCAAGGAACAGTTTTGGGTCCATCATTGTCCAAATGATCAACAACTAGATTATATATGTGATCAACTGCCTGCAGTATAGGAAGATCAAAAACAGAAGAGGTTCAGACAATCTAGATAGCCTCAAAAAAGGGGGGGAGGAAGATTGGATGATTATGTTCAATTAAGATATTAAAGTGTTTGTGTCTATCCAGATCATCGACAAATGGACTTCACTTGAATGTGACTGCATTGTCTGTGACACCCCACTCTGAAATGTAGAGATGGCAACAAATCTAGATTTAAACATCAACCAGAAATGAACTCAGATGATCATGATACTTTCTTTTTCAAGAAATACCAGCAGATTTTGAAAATAAATAAAAAGTTAACATGAAATCTACAAGCCTTGCCTCAGCCCTTTGGATCAGGCTAATAGATATATACGTTGTACATCATTTGCCAACTGATACAAATCTATGTTTACAAAAGTGTGTTATGTATTATCTGATGATTTACAGTTAGCTTCCTTATTTGATGTTCCTGGTATGAGTGGTTTCTTGGCCTGAAGCCAGAGCTGAAGCGTGATGGCTTATTAATATTATAAAGCCTGCAGAATGCTGCTTTAGTGTCAGTGAGCAGCTCTGCAACGGATAATGCGATAACATGCATGTTGAAATTAACTATTAAAAATACGTATTCAGCATTAGTGCAAGTCGCTTGGTGCCACCACATCTGAGCATTTAAATTGAATCCTATGGGATTATCAGACAATTTTTTTATAGGAAAGTTTGTTTAGTTGTATCAAAGACATCAATATATAATGTGTACTAGTATGGGTGTACATGTATGTATCATATTATATGTATGTATGCATGTATATAAAGTTTTAAACCGTTGATAATGTTTTGAGGTATACCATTGGACAATATACACTGAAGGAAGTGTTCCTTACAGAAATCAACCTGCAACTAAGGCTAAAGAAAAAAAAGGGTTTCACGTTTGACCTTTTTTTCTACAAGCCCAAACTTTTAATTTTGTCTGATCACTTGTACATGTGATAGATATCGCGATGGCGGGACACATTTAGTGATAGACCAACCAAACTGTTATCATATGTATAGTTGTATTGTACAAATAGATGTTTCCAACTTTAGATTCAAGGAGCTTTAACTAAATTATGTAAAAACCATTAATATAAAATTAAAAAAACTGTTACAAAATATAAAAATATTAATGATAATGTTTTCGTTCATCAGGGAGGATAAAAGGATGGCATAAAATTCAATCTAAGTTTGACATATATCTGGTTTTGTTTTGCTTAGATTGTCAGTTGGTGTTGACAAGTTCAGAGTATTATTAAAGTTTAAAAGATTCCTGTTCTGTTTAGATATATATGTGAAATTTGTTTAAAGATTCAATACAATAAAATTATTATCTACTGAAACTAAATTGCTCAACTATAATGAAACCTAAAACCTAAAATTGAATTTATTTGGCCTTAATTAACTATCACTTGTCAGTTGTATAATGTAAGTACATATATATATGTATGGCATTGCATACATAAATATTTACTAGTGTTGTTCAGTAAATACATGAGTAATAAAATTTAATGTCAAGAACTTGATGAACTGGGTAAATGAGGACAAGGACTCGTCATGATTTAAGTATGTACAGAAAGAACATGTACACTTTGAATTAAACTTCAAGGGGAACATTTTGTTATTTGGAACAAAAAATTTAAGTTAAATTTTCACTTCACTCGGCTGTTTGTTACAGGAGAAAAATTGATAAAAACAATATTTGAAAAATTATAAATTGGTTTTGGATAGCTATTAAAAATATTATATATATAGAAAATGACATTTCATGGATATGTACAGGCCTTTTTTTTGTGGCTGAATATGGGCCAGTTCCCCTCTCTAATTTTGGCATTATTTTCCCCTATTTCATCTTTATTTCCCCCTATTTCAGTTTAAAAATTCACCCATTTGTAACTAAAATACTACCACATGAATCTGGCTTGGTTCCATTTTTAGTTCACCTGCCCGAAGGGCAAGTAAGCTTATGTCATGGTGCGGCATCCGCCATCCGTCCTCGACGGTCAACTTTTCCTTTAAACAACTTCTTCTGAAGAACGGACAGGCCAAAAGTCATGATATTTGGCTGAAAGCTTTGTTGGTAGGAGCCCGACAAAGTTTCAGAACTAAAATGACCTTGACTTACTTTCAAGGTCACAGGGGTCAAATATGTCAAAAACATCAAACGTCTTCTGAAGAATTAAATGGTATAGAATCTTCTTATTTGGCTGATATGGGTCCCTGGGATGGAGCCCAACAAAGTTTGAGAATAAAAATTAGTTTGACC